GGGTGGAGCCTACAAGATGCTGTATCTTCTGGGCCTGGGATGGGGGGTTTCACCTCACTCTGCCCATTCCCCTGTCTCTGAGAGGAGTTCTGTTCTTGAACAAGAATGTTCTGCCTCAGGGAGCTGAGCAGGCTGAGTGTGGGATTTCGACACTGCCTCAGTCTAAAGCGTCCTGAAGTCAGTGACTCACGAAGGGCCTCAGACCTTCAGCTGCTCCTGTGTGACTGGAAACAGGACGGCGCATGAATAGATCCCAACCCATCAGCCATTAGGGAAATGCGATCAAGTCTAAAGAGATAGACCGCTGCAGACCCACTGGAGTGGCTAGAAACAAAATGACAGGTAATGACAAATGTTGATGGGAATGTGGAGAAACTGGAACTCTCATATATTATTCATGGAAATGTAAACTGGTGCAACCCCTTTGGACAGCAATCAGACATTTCCTCAAAAACGCTAATTATATCACCCTGAATTTCCACTCCTACCAATCTACCCAATGAAAATACACGTAAGTCCACAGGGAAATTTGAAACTTGTGTACCGATGTTTATAGCAGCGTTACTCATAAAACCAACAGTCTTAAACAAACTAAATGTCCAACAACTTGTGAATAATTTAACAACCTGTAGGACATACATGCCGTGGAATATTTTTTGGCAATAAAAATGAATGAAGTACTAAATTACATCTCTATTTATTTCATGTATGAAAATTAGCCTAATAAACATTTTCATACATTCATGTCCTAAGTTATGTAGAAAACAGAAATTGGATTTACAAGCCAAAGTTCTAGTAATAGTAGCTATTAGACTAATAATTGTTAATTTGTAGGGTGATGAAAATATTCTAAATTCATGTTACGGTGATGGTTGGACAACTCAATAAATACTAAAGAAAATTTGAAGTCTATATTTTAAATGGATGCAATTGATGATATACACATTATAATGTATCTTAATGTAGATGTTTAAAAATCCAATATGAAAGAGGGCAAGGTCACTGGCTTTGGAAGGTCACTGGCCATTTAAAGCAGGTCTGTGCTCTCAGAGGTCGATCTTCACATGTGAATGCCCTGGGGTTGGCCACAGTCAGTCTTTTGCCTGGCGTTTGTCATAGGCAGTCATGACCCTGATGACAAGAAAGCAGGGGCAGGTTTTTGTCTCAGTTCCCCCTGTGTCTGGAGCACTGTGCGACCACTCAGGCTATTGTCCCAGGCTGCACAGTAATAATCAGCCTCGTCCTCAGCCTGGAGCCCCGTGATGGTCAGGGAGGCCGAACTGCCAGACTTGGAGCCAGAGAATCTGGCAGGGACCCCCGAGGGTCTATCGCTATTATCATAGATGAGGAGTTTGGGAGCCATTCCTGGGAGCTGCTGGTACCACTGCACATAACTACCCTTGATGTTGCTGCAGGAGATGGTGACCCTCTGCCCCGGGGCTCCAGACACCGAGGGCGGCTGAGTCAG